TGAATAAGGGGATATATTAAAATATATCTATCAATAAAGCTCATTATGAAGAATGAACATAAAGTCTTACTTTTCTATTCTTGGATGTCCATATCATTAGTGAAGAATTTAGGTTTAAAACAGACATATTCATGCTCTCTCTCTCTCTCACTTAAAAAAAAAAATTTTTTTAGTAAAAACAAATTTTCCAAATTCAAAAAATCCCTAGAATGCTCAAGAATTACTAAGAGTAAGAGACTGTCTGTCAAACTGGATGCTGGATTGCTGCATTTGTCTCTGACACTTTCAGAGAAAAGGTCTAAAACCAATGAGAGAGTATAAAGAAACAAGAAAAACAAAAAGTAGAAATAACCATGGCATTCTACATGTATGCACATACATAGACAGACACAATGAAAGAAGAGAAAGAGGAGGAAAAAAGGGGGGGTCAATCTTGCACCAATGAAAAGGATATAAATGATTTTTAAACTCAATATAAAAGTGATGAAAAATGAGAAAATAAACAGTCAATCACCTGACAAGTGGATGGAGTGATTGCCAGAGGGTCAGTCTACGAAACTCTAGAGCCAAGATACTAAAATAACATCAATTAGCTAAATGACAAATGCATATCATACATTGAGTGCTAGTGCTAATAAAATAAATAAATGGAATGCCACACGAGCATTACAGTACAATATAGATATCAATGCAATGCAATGATCAGTTTTCAATCAGCATCTGGTGATTGTGTTTGTATGAAACTCAGAGTTGTGCTATGGGTGAGGAATATATACAAACACAGATAGATACACACACATACACACATAATCCATGCACATATATGAGTGCTCTATTTTAGAATATAACTTTTTAATATTTAATACGCAAAAAGTACATTTTTGTTTAATTTACCCATTGAGAATGCTGTATCACACTTAGCAATTTTTCAGCATAGGTAGCTGTTTTATTGTCATTATCTCTGAAGGGTTAATAATTTATTAACACTTCAGTTTACAGCCACTGATTTTGAAAAAATACTAAAAATGGAAGTGCTGTTAATGGGTAAATATGGTTAAAATGTTATTTTTATGTGTATAATACATGAATTCAAAATTTTATGCAACATAATTTTTCATCATTACCAGAAGTATTTCAAATCTTTTACATCATAAAAATAATTTTTTTTTTTTATAAAATATATATTTGTAGATTTATATAACTATTTTAGTTTAGAGAACCAGAGTCACCAAAATTGAAACTATTTAAATTTCAAATCAAATTAAATCACTTCATATGTCTAAAGTAGGCACTTCTACCAATTTGCTGAAAAAATAGCATTGCATGATGAAAAAGGCCCCAAACTTAATAAAAAACAAAGTTTTATCATTAAAATATTTATGCTATTATTAAGAGGAAAGACCAAAGTATTTTTTTAATTATTTTATTAAATTTTTTAATCCTTTCTAGCGTGTTCAAAATTTTCATTAAAAATCTTTTTTTTGTTTTTGTGTGTGTGTGTGTGTGTGTGTGTGTGTGTGTGTGTGTGCAGTCAATCAAAGATTACTATGGGTGTTTTAGTGCCTTTTCCCAGTGAAAAACACACTGATTTGGAAATTCTTGCAAAAGTTAAATAATTGTTGGATTTTAATGAAACTTTCAAGACTTATTCACAAATGAATGAAATCATTTTTGAATTTTTTTTTTTTTTTAAATCTTGGTATATATATATAACTTAATTTTATTTTCAAGAAATTAAAATTTCAGCCTCTTCATATTTATATCAGTTAAAATCAGGCTCCTTGGAGAATTTTAGTAATCATTGTTTTTGTTGAGTGGGAACACCATTTACCAAAATTCTGCTCTGAAACAAAATAAAAAATGCAATAAACTATGACATTATTTAATTAGGAAATCTTTTAATTACTTTTATAAATAAGATATATTAAGGACACTATTGTTTTAAGAAAAAATTTCTTTTGATGAATAATCAATTTTTGCAAGAATTGTTTTCAGTTTTTAAAATTTTAATTAGAAAAATTTAAGTTTTACATCTTTTAAAATTGTGTATTAATTTTAGATTATGTTGAGTGAAAACTATTTACTAATCATAAATTTTAAAGCTTAATACCAGTCATCAAAAACCAAGATTTTTAAAAGAATTTTGAATTTTTTTTATGCATATAAATGTGCTCAATTTTTTAAAGTAGGTTCAACCATACACAACATTATCAGAAAATAAGATTGGTGACTATAGTAAATTTGAAGTCAACATTCCTAAAATTAGATTATGGAGAATATTTTCAAAAATTTTTTAAGATTATCGAGTACTTAAAATTATATAAAAAAGGCACTCACATCATTTTCTTAAATTATATTTTACAAATAAAGTCTCCTAGAGCAACAATCAATCTGTCATCACCTTGTGATCATTCATCAAACATGTAAACATGGCTAGTCGGTTAAAAACACAACTACTGTTTGGCTTAAAAATGCATTTCTGTGTTATTTTAAACCTAAAGTAAATAATATTTGTTTCAAATCAGATTAATTATACTTTAAATCAGCAAATATTTCTCAAAGTTTCAGAAAAGTATATTTTACTTTTGGAAGATTTTTTAATAAAGAGAATTACATTGTGATGAAAGACTACTAAAAAGGGCACTAATCAGTTATTTACCCCCACCAAAAAAAATCTATTCCAATCAATATAATTTCCATTTTAAATACACCAGAATATTTTGCTTACTGGAAATAGTAAATTTAATCTTTTAGCTTTCAATTAAAGCTAAAATGAAAGCTTTTTTCATTTTTGAAAATTCATTTTAAACATTAGGTATCACAAATTAGTGGAGGTACCTAGTCTAAAGAAAGGAATAATATATTGCCTTCACCATCAGAAGGCATAGTGATTCTGATATCCTACAGTACAAATTGGACATACTCAAAAGATACCAAGTTGTAAGGCAATAGTAAACATACCTGACAGTTGAAAAATTTGTTACCAGATACATCAGAGTAATAAAATTAATCAAGGCAAGCTCCTTACAAAGGTTGAGCTCCCATATGATAAAATGACAAAACACTGTGTATAACATTTATACAGTTATGACGGGGGAAAGGGGACAATGGTGAAAGAAGAAAAAAACCCAAAATTGAACTTGAAAAACCCTAATTTGATGAAATACAGGCATAGTGAGATATAAATGGAATATCTGTTAAAAATTAAAATAATGGAGAATCTTAATAGTGCATAGGTGAGATGAGTTGCATATATAATCTTGGTAAAAGTCTGTATAAACAAAGCCAGAATAGAAATCAAGATGTAAATTCCTAAATGAATGTACTGATTTTTTTCACTTTTGTTATTTTATCATCATTACATGAAAAAAATATGACACTATTACTTAAAAAAAAAATAAAAAAAAATAACAGATGAATTATACATCTGAGAAAAGACAAGGAGCACATTAGCTGGAATACAGAGGTGTATGTTAATCCAAAAAAAACAAAAAAAAAAAAAACAAAACAATACAAAGTTGGTGTCGTATATCTTAAATTTAATGACAAAAGTAAGATCCATCAAAGAAAGTAAAGAAGAACAATAAAAATAATCATAATTGACAGCATATAAGACTTCTGTCCACCTAACATTTCATAATATGGTATTATGGTTAAGCTACGAGATGTAGATAAACAATGGCTTTGTAGATACCCTAAATTTGCACATATAACCCAAGAGATTTTTTTTTTTTGGCTATTTGGTAGGGGAGGTTCTCATTTACATACTATCAAATAACCTAATCACAATTCTTAGATCATTTTGTATTTTTCTCTAGGCAGTATTGTCAGAGTTAAAATTTAATTTCATTAAAAGGGGGTGCTAAAATGTCTTCAATCCATTTAAATTTGACATACAAAGTGATCTAAAATCCGACTTTAACACTTCTGTAATAATACTAATTGTTGTTAATATAAAAACAATGAATGACATTGACAAGTAGTTCATAAGATTGCAGAGGAATTTTAGCATGCAAAATATGAAAGAAAATTAAACCATAATAAAGACATTCCCTGTAAATGTGGTAAAACAAAAACAAAAGGTTATGTCAATTGTTTACTGAATTTAATGAACCAGCATTAAATCAGGTATTGTGAGTTCAATCAAAAATATTTCTCTCATTTTTCTATATTTTTAAAGAAGTTTAAAGTGGCAATTTTCTGTAAACACACATTTCCATTAACTAAATATAGCTGTTTTTATGACATTAAATTAGTAACAGTAGAGATATACCAGATTCAGTTAAAATACTTAGTAAAAAATAAAAGCTAATAACATTAAACTACTTTACTTTCAGGATCACTTAAATATGTATATACTGAAGCAGTTTAAAACTAATGTATGAGATAAACAAATGTATATTGGATTTTAATCTGAAATTAGATAAAATAAAAATCCCATAATCAGCCCCTATAGTTCTTTTGTATCAAATTTCTGTATTTCAGAAATATTAAATTATCTGTACCACAATTTATTAGTTTCATAATACTAAATTTTAACTCAATTCCATTTTTAGTTATGGTTTCAGAAAAATATATATAGGCTTATTATATGGCTTATTAAGAGATTAAAAAGTCTAAATATCTAAAAAAATTAGCATGCAAAGATTTCATAATCACAAAATTGTCTTCAGCAGATCTTTCCCTTTGTAAATTTCATACTCATTACAAAATAAAAAATTATTTTACACAGATTTTTTAAAAATCTAGTCATAGTATCAAAAATTGAATATCAGTGAACCTTCAACAGATTTTATTGTTATTTTTTTATTTAGTGTTTACCCCTTGGGATTAACAAAGTAAAAGTTTTGTGAGATAAGGGAAAAATATTTTATATTCCTTTTTATTATGTTCTGAGATGATATGATTTGCTATTGAAATGTTTATTGTACACTTTTAATCAGGTGCAAAGATTTCCTCTCAAAAAAACAAAATTAAGCAGTAAAAATTTTCAAACTTACCCATTTGGAGTTCGTCCAACTTTGTCACAGATATCCATTATTAGTCCCCAATCTTCTGTGGTTCGCATTTCATTGGTAGCTTTTTCTGTAAGGAAAAAAAATGTACTTAATTAAGCATATGTAAAAATATGGCTTAGAGTGACAGATAACTAATTATTAAACAAGACAAAATCAAAAACCAGAAAGAGAAAGAGCAAAGGCATAGAAACACACAACATTTTTCTTGTACTTTCTTTTTATATAATAAAAGCAGGTTACTCAAGAGAGTAAAACTGTTTTTAGCTGAATCTGACTCATAAATAGAACAATTTGACTGAGAAAGTCTTTGCAAGCCGGTTGACATCCAAAATGTTTCATTATTTTCAATATGAACACTACCAGTTTCCCCCAAAAGGAAATGTGACATCAACTTCACTTGTAATTTTTAGTTCTTCCTCAAGCACTTTAAGCTGAGAACATGTTTAATTGCTGAATCATTTTCCAAGAGTCATCAGATATTTATTTTACTAGAATATTGTTAATGATCACATTAAATTTTCTTCAAGGAGTAAAATCACTTTCTCCAATTGTCAAAATTAAATTTAAATTTAAATTTAGTAAGCATATAAATTCTTTTCTCAACGTTATGGAAATTAATTTTCTTGGCCTATGTTTTATAAAGACTGTGGTTCTTGATGTTACATTTATAATGCAACAATTTTTAAAAGGATCAAAACTTTACAAAATGTTAACTCATCACATTACTAGCTATTGAGGGTTGGTAATTGTTTGGCATTTTTTGACAATGTGTTTCTTGCTCTCATCTTTATTAACTATATTTACACCTGAAGAATTATGAGGTTTTTTAAACTTGACTCTACTATTCTCTTAATTTCTGATATTCTTTGGCCAATGACCACAAAGTGATTTTTGGCAACATCCTGATGCAAATATTATATAACTAGTTGCTTGCTAATCATCACTTCTCATTTTTTTTGTCTTCTGTTACTAGTAGAACTTAAAAAAATACTTAACACAATTTGTTTTTCTTTATAAGAGAGAAATGCTTATTTAAAGGAATTAAATTAGAAAATGGATAATAGAAAGTGACTCTGAATAAGTAAAAAAAAAAAAAAAAAAAAAAAGAGTTCTTTACACTTCCTAACTAATTCAACCAACCACATTGGGCAATACCTCCTTTTGGGAACAGGTGGAGATATCAGTGACCTACTCTCCTCATGTCAACCTCTTGCTGCCACTTCCACTGTTCATGTGACATGGATTACCTGACATGTTTCATTTAAGTCTAGTCAGGTTTTGTCATTTCCACATCACCCTTGCTTAAGAGATACTAGTGAATATATAGTTAGCAAGATGAAAATTGATCCCCTGTTAAACTTTAATTTAAAACATTCATATTTTTTGTTGACAGAACTCAAGTCTTAAACTCAGCAATGGGACTCTATAAATGCTGTGTCATGAACTGAACAGAAATGATTTTTCACCAAAATAAAATCTCAGACTGACAGTTATATTGAAATCAACGAGTTGGTCGGTTTGGTAATTTGTTTCGGTATCGGTTTCCATTTTTTTCCCTTGATACCGCAGGTTATACGTTTTTTTTCTTTTCAATTTAGTATTTTTTGCTTTCTAAGGAAGCCATTCATTTTTTTTTTTTTTTGTGTGTGTGTGTAATGATAGCATTTCCACTCGATGTTTGATTTCATTTGAGATTGATAAATTTACAACCATTCAAACTCACAATTTCTCGTGTATTTCTGGTCCAGTCATAAAAATGTTCATATGGCTGGAAATAAAATGATCTTTCTAAATATGTAATTTGTATGTGTTTTTATTCATTGAATTATTTTTTTTATTGCAAGTTAAAACGGTATTTTGCTCTGAACAGCTGAAAATGTGAAATATGATCTCCCCACAAACTAAATTTTACACATTAGCTTTGCAAAATCAAAGCGACCAATCTTTATCAATAGTATTGAAGTTGTACACTCAATTAGAAGACACCTTAAACTACAATCAGGACGATGTTCATTTCTTCGGACCCGAGGAAGTGAATTCCTTCAAAAATTATAAAGTAACCAAAAAAAAGAGAGAGAGGTGAAGAAAAAGAGCAACTGATAGTAACAAATGTGTGGTAAAAGAACTTTCAAATTATTGAAACTACTGCCAGACACTTGTTTTCAAATGATTAATTATTTTATTTAGAGGCAAAGAATTCTGTTATATCCAGAAAAGTTGATGATAATTTGTATTTTCTTTACACTTATGGCCTAGTTTTTTAAATTTAGACTTAAAAATGTACCAGTTTACAAATAGTTTTAGAATGACATTTTCATGTTCAATATTTGTAAATATCTCATACAACATGAGAAAAAAATAGATGTTTCTTAAGCACTAACTGCTTACTGATTTAGGAATTGTTTGTTAAAAAAAAAAAAGATACTTCCCTAGAGAGGGTAATGGTAAAAATCTATAAAATTAATTTTACCTGCAAAAGCAGTTATTTTGAAAGGTCAAACATTTAATTTTTACATGAAATAACTAAAAACTTGAGTACTAAGCATATACTTATAAATTATCTACATAAACAGTTAAAAGATGAAATGTGTTAAGCATGTTGAAGAAAAAGAGAGACTCTTTTCATTTCCTTCCATGGAATGGAAGTTGCATAAAAAACTTCAAACAAATCCTTTATGCTATGTTCATAGTAGTAAATTTATATTTTGAAAGTAAATAAGATTTATAATTTTGAAATGAATTAAAGTGCTTGTAAATAGAAACAAATCTAAAATAGAGAAGTCAATTTATAATACTGTCTTTATTATTAATTGTTTCTAAATTAGATATTCATGTCATCCATGAACACTGACACATTTTGATATTAGAATTGAGAGAGAAAAAAAATCATAAGATATCAATGTTACTTTATGTACACAAAATTAAGCACAAATTGAATCAATTCTACATTTAATGAGTTACTATGAAACCAGGTTGGTGTTACTATTTGTAGGTAATTAATCAATTTGGAAGTATTGAATGATTAAATTTATGGCAAATGACTGAATTAAAAGTACTGATCCATATTCTAATATAAATGAAATGTGGGCCAGGTTAAACAATTTTATACATTACCAAATATACATAAAACTTCTACTAACACCTAAAAATTTGAAAATAGTGTTATTACACACACTTTATGATTAAATTAAGAATAAATGAAATATTTAACTGTTGTTAGTCTCAGTTTTAAGGTTTTTTAAAATAATGATCTGTAATATTTAACTTAAAATGTAAATTTTAGGCAAATAGTATATTTTCTGTCTGAATTTCTGGAATAAGAAGTTATTATTTACAGTTGTCCTGAGGACATTAGTCCAATTGTAAGTAATGTAAATAAAAATAGAATATTGCACAAGCCAAGCAATGTTTTAGAGCAAAAAGAAAAAAAAAACATTAGTGAGAAATAAATAAAATACATTCTTTTTTTTTTTTTTTTTTTTTAACAATATTATGGAATGTAAAAGATCTTCAGGCAAGTGAATCACAATTAACATACCAAAGGTTGTACTTTATTTAAAAAAAAAAAAAAAAAAAAAAAATGTTGGTCTATATAAAGAGATATTGTAAAGTTCCCTGCCTATTAAAAAATTAGGTTTGGTTATTTGGTCAGATTTTGGGACATAGTCCAGACTAAGAACTTTTAATCATCATATATAATGTGATTAATTTTCTTTTACACATTCCAGAATGTAGTAAATATTACTTGATCATTTTTTTGTTCAGCAAAAATAATGAACATTTAAATTTTCTGATATTAACTTTATTGAAGAATATTTTGTTCCACAATCTTTTGCTATCTTTCCGGCAACTCTATGATTTTATTCCCCCATTACACTATATACATTTTGAAGTCTTCCAGGAAATTGAATTTTATAAACAGAATTCTGTAATCATTGAAATAAATGGTAATCTAAAGGTGCAATATCTGGTAAATATGGCAACAACCCTGTTATAATATTGACGTGTTCAAAGAAACATGAATCAAGTTATTATCTTGATGGTATATTATGCCCTTTCTCTTTACTAATTCCCAATACTTTTCATTGATTGCTGTTTTAAATTGCTCTAACTGGGAGCAGTACATGTTTGTATCATTTGGTTCTTGGAAAGAATTAATAGAAGACTCCCTTCCAATTCTATAATATACAAAGCATCATGTTCTTTGGATGAAGACTTCTGGTACAATTAATGATGGTTCATTTCACAATGTTTTGCATTCCACTATTTATTGCCGACCAAGAATTGTTGAAAATGAAACATTTAAGTAGCAGATCAAACAGGGAGATGCAACCTAATAAGGATTTTTTTTTAAATTTATACAGAAGGCACACATCAAAGCAAGTTTACATCAATAAGTTGACACAAATAGTTTAATTTGGACATGTTGAGAATGGTAGCTATCACCTATATTTTATAACACTGATTATTATAAGGTTTTGATTTAACCAAGCTGTGGAACATCTTTCAATAAGAAATCACAAAAGTTCTTAAACCACTTCTGACATATTTCATCATTCATAGTATTTTTGCCATCAACTGCATATTTTTATCTTTATTTAAAAAAGAAAACATGTGAAAACTAATTGTTTTTCCATCTTCAATATTAGATTCAATAAATAAAAATAAGCCAATTTTGCAAATTTAAAAAAAATGCTTAGTGATATGACAGTTGTTGAGATACAATCAAAAGTTAACTTTTTGCCTGAATACTAGTTAAAATACAAACTTTATTTTGGCCAATCTTATATATTCATACACTGTAGTCATCTAAAATCTTATCAATTATTCAAAGCTTGTAGATGACAAGAGAGGAACTTCTACTTTACAAACTATAAGATAATAGAAAGAATAGAATATTTTGTTAAGAAAAAAAAAATTATACCACTTAAAATTTCTGTACTTAAGTTGACCACATGGGTTATGTTTCTTCAGAATGTAATGATTCAATGTTCATTTCTATTTGTATTGTTAAACCCCATTGAAAAATTTTGTGTTAGCATCAGACAAGAAAACCAATTTACTTGC